AGCCCAACCAATCTTGCTATAAAGGAGGTAACATCCAGAAGTATACGCCTCATCTGGAACCCCCCTGTGATACCACCTAAAAAATATAGGGTGGTCTATTACCCCTCTAGGGGTGGGATTCCCAAAGAGGTAAGTGGTCCTGTCTTTGCTATCTCAAATGTAGCTGGATCAACCAGGTGGGCACTAGCAATGGCACATTCCTAACAGTCCAAATCATAGAAGAACTCCTGAGTCTATACTGCTTGCAGTATGAGTTGCTAGGAATGGGGAAATATGTCAGTTTTCTTTGTTTTCGGTTTCTCATCTTTCCAATCTTACGTCCAGTCCTCCACATTTCCACATCAGTTAGTGATTTCAGGGTGTGTGGAATCCTGGTGAAAATTTGTGTGCATGAATTTCATTTTTGTGTGAATTTCTTCTGATGTGCCCATTTTTATGTGGAAATTTTTGCCAGATATGCACATTTTCCCAATGCAATTTCTGCAAATATAATGCATTTTTGGTATGTGATTTTCACTAATATATGTATTCTTAACTTAGCATTTGCATTTTTTGTACACATTACTGAACTGGAGAATTGTACTACAAAATTCAGAGTCACACAAATTTCTGAGGATTGCAGCGTTTTTGTGCTCATATTGCTCTGTAAGATGTGAACTCGGTAAGCTGGCCTTTAAATGTGAATAAAATTGAGTTTCTGAGACCTTTGGGTATAGGGCGGTACAGAAATAAAAACAAACAAATAAATAAATAACAATTATTATTATTATTCCCCTCCATCCTTATGAGCTGCTGAGGTGCTGCCAAACTAGGCTCTGGCAATATCAGTAGTGGGGACCACCCTATGATCCATTTGTGTATGCTATTTTCACTCACGTGCATATTTAGGCACATTCCCCTCTAACATATGCATTTTTGTAAACACTGGTTGGAAAAGTGCGTCACAAAATTCAGAGGCACGTGAATTTCAGAGGGCAGTTGCATTTTGGTTTATGTATTGATTTGAAATGTACTAATTAGGTAGTTTCTCACTGAAATGCAAACAAAATTTTCCAGATAAAATTTTTGCATATATTCAACATACAACATAGAAACAAGATTCCAAAGAATCTCCTGTACTTACCTCCTCCCCTTTGTGGGTCCTATAGTTAATCATTTCCTCCTGCATCTTTTATAATAATCCAAATCTTTTGCCTCTCCGTTGTGTCCAAAATTCACCATTAAACCACAAGTGTTATTCCAATCCTACTAACGATTTTGACTGTTTACAGTGGTTTTTAAGATAAATTTCCCCCATTCCTTATTAAAATTTTGGTCTTCCTGATTCTTCCAGTCATTTTTGCCATTTCGGCAATATCTAGGCAACACGAAGTCTCTGAAAATCTTTAAATGAAGCGAAGTACTGCAGTGACTGCATTATTACATGAGCACTGTTCCACAGCATTTGATATTTTCATTTACATACATTCATTCGAAATAAGATGGGTTTATGAAGCAATTCTATATCCTCCCACCATGCTGACAAAGAATTATACGAAACAGTAGTCAATATCTGGAATCACTGTTTAGCGTTGGACATTATATTTGCTGAATACACAAAGCTTCATAGCTTGTCTTTCATTGTACAAAGTCTGGTACCTCGCTTCATTTAAAGATTTTCAGAGACTTTGAGACTAAAGATTTCATTTTGTACTTATTATGGTTTGAAGGTATTCTATAAAGGTTGTCTATTGTGTATGTACATGGTCATTGTGTTGCCTAGATATTGCTGATGTTCTCTTTGCAACATAGGGGTTTGTTTAATTTTTGCCATTTCGGCAAAATCCATCGACTTGATCTGCCACTCTCCTCTGGTAAGGACTTCATCTTCTTTGAAACAAAATCAGATTCCTTCCTCATCCCTCATCCCTCAGTGCAACTTCTCTGTATATTTTTAGGTTGTTTTAGATGGGGCAGCCTCGGCCGTGCAGCTCCTCAACTTGACATCCCACACAGAATATCTGGTTTCAGTGTTTCCTATTTATGAGAACGCAGTTGGAGATGGACTCAGAGGCATCACCTCAACATGTAAGCCAGGAATTGATTGAATGGTCTTCGGTTAAATGTGTCCTAGGTGATAGTTTGATAGCCATGCCCCTTATACTAAGGTGACCAGATTTTTTTCAATGAATCCGGGGACACTTTTCAACCTCAGTGGATCTCATCAGGAGACTGATTTGTAAATCTGGGGACTGTCCCCAGGAAACGGGGACATCTGGTAACCTTACCTTATACCAGCCAGAAGGTCTTGCTCTGAGATCGTGGCTCAGATGATCTTTCTCCTATCTTTGAACCAGACATTCATGGCTAATAAAAGACCTCTATCTGAGAATATTTAATTAAAAAATTGCTTAATATTCTTAGCCTTGAAATATTTTAAGCCTGTTATTTGCTCAACGGTTAATAGATATTCAATCTGCATAATTTGTAGACTGTGCAGATACGTGTGTTTATTTTCAGAGCAAAGTAGCATGTTGTTTTGCCTGGCAAATGTTCACATTTGGCAGCTGCTTTGGGTGAGGAAATGTACTTCCCTTTGATAATTTCTCTGCTTTGCCCCCATAGTGCCTCTCTCTGCCCCTGGGTCCCTCAGAGCTTCTGAAATCAGCCACAACAGCATACGACTGAGCTGGGAGCCAGCAGATGGAGCTAGCCAGTATCTGGTTCTTTGCTCTTCAGCACCCAATGGAGCAGAAGATGGTACCAAAGAGGTAAAGGATATTGGTTTCAACTGTAATCACAATGGTGGGCTTGGGTTTTTTTTGAGGGGGAGCAGTGGCGTAGCGTGGGTTGTCAGCACCCGGGGCAAGGCAAGTAATTTGCGCCCCCTAACCCCTAACCTGCCGCCGCTGCCAGCTTCTTCTTGCTGCTGCCTGGTCTGGTCTGGTGTGGTTCTCTCCCGCGCTCAGCGCTGCGCTGAGCGGCCGCTGCACTGTCCCTCCCCCAGATAGTCCCTCGCTCTCTCTCCGCACCACACGCCTGGCACCCACCCCCTCCACAGTGGGCGGCGACCCAGCGGCTCGGATCGGATTCGCACAGCCAGCACTGCAGTGAGAGAGTGTGAGTGAGCCAGGTAGGGGCAGAGAGCTGCGAGTGCGAGCGTGCCCCCCCAGATGTTGCGCCCGGTGCGACCGGCCCCCCTTGCACCCCCCACACTACACCACTGAGGGGGAGGCATTTAAATGCTCAGAGATAAGATGCATCCCCTATACAAAGCAAAGTGAGATTTTGATGTAGGGATCACCCCTGAGTCAAGAGGTGAGTTTTACTCAGGCTCCTGAATGCGAGTGCTGTTAGTGCCTGCCAAATACAGTGGTACCTTGGGTTACATATGCTTCAGGTTACAGACTCCGCTAACCCAGAAATATTACCTCAGGTTAAGGACTTTGCTTCAGGATGAGAACAGAAATCGTGCTCCGGCGTTGCGGCAGCAGCAGGAGGCCCCATTAGCTAAAGTGGTGCTTCGGGTTAAGAACAGTTTCAGGTTAAGAACGGACCTCCGGAACGAATTAAGTACTTAACCCGAGGTACCACTGTAGTAATAATAATAATAATACTAATAATAATAATAATAATAATAATAATTTATTTATACCCTGCCCATTGGGCTGGGTTCCCCCAGCCACTCTGGGCAGCTTCTAGCAAAGTATTTAAATACAATAATTCATCAAACATTAAAAACTTCCCTAAACAGGGCTGCCTTCAGATGTCTTCTAAAAGTCAGATAGTTGTTTATCTCTTTGACATCTGATGGGAGGGTATTCCACAGGGCGGGTGCCACTACTGAGAAGGCCCTCTGCCTGGTTCCCTGTAACTTTGCTTCTTGCAGTGAGGGAACTGCCAGAAGGCCCTCAGAGAGGGATCTCAGACTGAACAATGGGGGTGGAGATGCTCCTTCAGGTATACTGGGCTGAGGCAATTTAGGGCTTTAAAGGTCAGCTCCAACACTTTGAATTGTGATCGGAAACGTACTGGGAGCCAATGCAGATCTCTCAGGACTGGTGTTATGTCGTCCTGGCAGCTACTCCCAGTCACCAGTCTAGCTGCCGCATTCTGGATTAGTTATATTTTCTGGGTCACCTTCAAAAGTAGCCCCACGTAAAGCACATTGCAGTAGTCCAAGCAAGAGATAACCAGAGCATGCACCACTCTCGCAAGACAGTCTGCGGGCAGATAGGGTCTAATCCTGTGTACCAGATGGAGCTGGTAGACAGCTGCCTTGGACACAGAATTGACCTGCGCCTCCATGGGCAGCTGTGAGTCTAAAATGAGTCCCAGGCTGTGCACCTGGTCCTTCAGAGGTGCAGTTACCCCATTCAGGACCAGGATGTTCATTGGGAGCACATTCCAAAGGAGAGATGCCACCACACTAAAAGCCCTGGTCTTAGTGGACATAAAACAAACCATGGGAGCATGCAGAACTCCTGGGAGTGTCTCTCCCAAGGATCAAAGTGACCAGGCAGAGTGTGTGCAATGCAATAGGGAAAGGTAGAATTTGATCCTCAAACTGTAGTTAGAAAACAACAACAACAACAAAAACCAACAAAAAGAGCATAGAGTACACGGAGCAATGGATCCAAACTACAAGAAAGAAGATTCCACCTAAACATTAGGAAGAACTTCCTGACAGTAAGAGCTGTTTGATAGTGGAATTTGCTGCCAAGGAGTGTGGTGGAGTCTCCTTCTTTGGAGGTCTTCAAGCAGAGGCTTGACAACCATATTTCAGGAGTGCTCTGATGGTGTTTCCTGCTTGGCAGGGGGTTGGACTCAATGGCCCTTGTGGTCTCTTCTAACGCTATGATTCTATGATTCTATGAGTCATAGAACTGTATAGTTGGACGGGACCAGTTGGCTGGAGTGTGGTGCTCACAATGCCAAGGTTACATAGAATCACAGAATTGTAGAGTTGGAAAGGACCTTAAGGGTCATCTAGTCCAACCCCCTGCAAAACAGGAATCTTTTGCCCAATGTGGGGCTTGAACCCACGATCCTGAAATTAAGAGTCTCATGATCTACCTACTGAGCCATCCCAGGTTATGGGTTTGATCCCCATATGGGGATCTGCGTATTGCAGGGGGCTGGACTCGATGATCCTCAGGGTCCCTTCCAAATCTACAATTCTATGATTGTGTCATAGAATTGCGGGGCTAGAACCCACGACCTTGAGATTCAGAATCTCATGCTGCAGCGACTGTGCTACGCCACCAGCTACACGACACATGCACAGGGCTGTATGTTTGAGCCACGTTGGGTGAAAGATTCCTGCGTTGCAGCGGGTTGCACTAGATGACCCTCGTGGTCTTTTCCAACCCTACAATTCTATGATTCTAACCCCCCAAAAAACTTTGGGAATGCACTGGCAGAAATCATGTGTGGTGCTCATGTAGTTCTGCCAGATGGGCGGAAGGTGGCAGCAGACTCGCTGTAATGAACATTCGGAAGAGTTAAAATGCAGAAAGGAAAGAAAGGCTTTCCTCCATACTCCAGTTTGCAGACAGATGTGCCCAGGTAATCAGGGACCCTCCTGCACCCCTTGTTTAAGGGCTCGCCTTTATTAACACTCCCAAACCCTCCTCTCCTCCTGTTTGTTCTGCACACTGTGAAATGTTTTGCATCACAAAGGCAGGGAGCCTCTCTCTGGCCAGCTGTTCCCCTTTCTTGTGACTCTTTGTTCTTCTGTTGGGGCCTTGTTTGCTTGAGGCTGAGAACTTTCCCTGCTCCGATGAATGCTCCTGGGAGAGCTCTTCCGTATGTTTCACACTCGGCTCAGGTGCTTTGAAAAGCTTTCCCCTGCCCATTGCAAGGGTCAAATGCCTGCAAATATATTTCCGGTGCTTGCTAACGACCCACAACCCTTACGAGTGTCAGCGGGAAGCATTGTGAAGGTCATTGCAAAGAACAAGGACTGCCATCAATGGCTGGAATTTATCCTGGCACTAAGGATCAGTTGAATTCAGGTGTGGGGACAGCATGATTAAACTGCTCTCCCATTTAGAAGCTAAGGAGGTCAGGTTAGATTTTGTGTTGGTTTGGTTTTGCTTTCACTTTTCTCCCCACCTGTGATCCCCAGCATCTGGAAATCAGGCAAACTGCCTTGACAATGGAGGTAAAAAATAGCCCTTGTGGCTAATAGCTAAAAAGGTAAAGGGACCCCTGACCATTAGGTCCAGCCGTGGCCGACTCTGGGGTTGCGGCGCTCATCTCGCTTTACTGGCCGAGGGAGCCAACATTTGTCCGCAGACAGTTTTTCTGGGTCATGTGGCCAGCATGACTAAGCCACTTCTGGAGAACCAGATCAGTGCACGGAAACACTGTTTACCTTCCCGCCAGAGCGGTACCTATTTATCTACTTGCACTTTGACGTGCTTTCGAACTGCTAGGTTGGCAGGAGCAGGGACCGGGCAACAGGAGCTCACCCCGTTGTAGGGATTCGAACCGCCAACCTTCTGATCGGCAAGTCCTAGGCTCTGTGGTTTAACCCACAGCGCCACCCGCGTCCCTTTGGCTAATAGCTACCAGTAGCCAATTCTGTAGTTTAACTGTGTACCAGGTGAAGAGGTATTTTATTTTGCCTGTCCTGAATATTTTAACATTCAGCTCCTTTGCCTTTTTAAATGTGCCTGACAGTGGTGCTCAGTGCTGCAAAAGCTACTAACAGTAAGCAATGTTGTCCCGTCCTGCGGTTGTCATGACAAAATGGCAATCAAAATGGACATCAGAGATTGTCAGGAGAAAATAGTCTTGTGCAAGGGGCATTTTTCCCTAGACTGCTTTAATTTCCAAACTTGATCAGCAAATACTTGGAATATACGTGGGCTAAGCTTTTCTGTCATGCCTTGGTTGATTTAAGTTTCCTTAGCTTTTATTTCCCCCCGATCTGCTGCTGGTCTTTTTCTGTGTGCCCTGAAATTAAAATATAGGAGATGGAGCTGCCGACAATTGTTTAAGAATATTTCAGTTCTTGTACTTACCCGAATGAATCCCTAGTTGAGGAAGCCCAGAGTCAATATTGTTTGATTTTATTAGTATTATCATTGCGTTGTTTTAACTATTACCTGTGATACATAAGTTGTGCTTTATTTTCTGTACAGAAAACCCAATACAATTTATTTAAAAAACAAACAGGAAGGAAGGAAGGAAGGAAGGAAGGGGGTAGCCAACAGTGAGGCCAGTGTGGTCAGCAAACACCAGCAGGAGTGCCAAATTGACTCCGCCAGAGAGTTTGCACCACACTGACCTGCCCAGTGCCTCACTTCCCTTCCTCCTGGTGGACAACAGCGACCCACCGGCTCACCTGGTCAGCTGCTTCAGTCTTATTTGTTGGGGTTTAAAATCACCCACGTCTCTCTTTGCACTTGCTTTCTCTCTCTGCTGCACCAAGGATTCCCTGTCCGAGCTGCTTCAGGTCGTGGCGGATGTTCTCCTGGAGACACCTAGTTTGGTTGTCCTAGGGGATTTTAACATCCATGCCAACACGACCTTACAAGGGGCTGCTCGGGACTTCGTGGAAAGCATGGCCTCCATGGGGCTGTCCCTGAATAAGTTTGGCCCAACTCATAGTCATGGACATGCCTTAGACCTGGTGTTCACCTCTAGTGAGGTGGGTGATCTGACACTAAGTAAAAGTGAAACAAAAGAAGTGCCATGGTCAGATCACTTCCTGGTGCAACTGGACTTCTCCGCGACCCTTCCCCTCTGCAGGGAGGTGGGACCAATTCGGATGGTCCGCCCCCGCCACTTAATGGATCCAAATGGTTTCCAGAGAGTGGTAGGGGATGCTTTATCCCATGTTGATGGCCTTTCAGCTGGTTCCCTGGTGGCCCGCTGGAATGCGGAGTTAACCAGGGCTATCGACTGTCTGGCTCCAAAGTGCCCTCTCCGATTGCATGGACAGCCCCATGGTTTTCTTCGGAGCTGAGGGCGATGAAACAATCACTGAGACGGCTAGAGCGTCAATGGCAGAAAACTCACTCCAAATCTGACCGGACACAGGTTAGAGCTCAACGTCGAGCCTACCAAGTGGCGATAGCGACAGCGAAGAAGACTTTCTTCACCGCCTCTATTGCATCTGCAGAAAATAGTAGCAGGAGACTCTTTCAGGTGGTCCACAATTTAACGGAACCACCTTTACCACCGGGGCCTTGTAAAGACCCCAACATCTCCTGCAATGATTTTGCAAAGTTTTTTGCAGATAAAATCACTCATATTTGGAAGGAGCTAGACACCACCGTGGTAGCAGGGCTGGGGCGGGAGAGTGCTAGAGCCCTGTCTGGTCAAGTTGTATGGAATCAATTTCAATCCGTTACCCCCGAGGATGTGGACAGGCTGCTTGGACGCGTGAAACCAACCACCTGTCTCCTTGATCCTTGCCCATCCTAGCTAACAAAAGCAAGCAGGGAAGGGCTGGGCGATGGGTTCTGTGGGGTGGTGAATGCTTCCCTCTGTGAGGAAACATTCCTAGATCCGCTGAAAGAGGTGGTCATTAAACCGCTTCTTAAAAAACCATCTTTAGACCCGGCCAGTATGGCCAACTATCGCCCAGTCTCAAATCTTCCATTCTTGGGCAAGGTCATTGAGCGCGTGGTGGCTGAACAACTCCAGGCATGCCTGAAGGATGCGGACCATTTGGATCCCTTCCACTCAGGATTCAGGCCTCATCATGGGACTGAAACTGCCTTGGTCACACTGGTTGATGATCTCCGGCGAGCTAGGGACAAAGGTGAGAGTTGTTTCCTAGTTCTGCTGGATCTCTCAGCGGCCTTTGATACAATCGACCATAACATCCTTCTGGACCGTCTAGAGGGGCTGGGAGCTGGGGGCACTGTTATACAGTGGTTTCGCTCCTTCCTCCTGGGCCGTGTTCAGAAAGTGGTGGTGGGGGATGAGTGTTCAGACCCCTGGGCCCTCACCTGTGGGGTGTCTCAGGGTTCCGTCTTCTCCCCCATGCTTTTTAACATCTATATGAAGCCGCTGGGAGAGATCATCAGGAGGTTTGGGCTGGGTGTTCATCAGTATGCAGATGATACCCAGCTCTACCTCTCTTTCAAATCAGAACCAGTGAAGGCGGTGAAGGTCCTGTGTGAGTGCCTGGAGGCAGTTGGAGGATGGATGGTGGCTAATGGATTGAAGTTGAATCCTGACAAGACAGAAGTACTGTTTTTGGGGGACAGGGGGCAGGCTGGTGTGGAGGACTCCCTGGTCCTGAATAGGGTAACTGTGCCCCTGAAGGACCAGGTGCACAGCCTGGGAGTCATTTTGGACTCACAGCTGTCCATGGAGGCGCAGGTCAATTCTGTATCCAGGGCAGCTGTCTACCAACTCCACCTGGTACGCAGGCTGAGACCCTACCTGCCCGCAGACTGTCTCGCCAGAGTGGTGAATGCTCTAGTTATCTCTCGCTTGGACTACTGCAATGCGTTCTACGTGGGGCTACCTTTGAAGGTGACTCGGAAACTACAACTAATCCAGAATGCGGCAGCTAGACTGGTGACTGGGGGCGGCCGCCGAGACCACATAACACCGGTCTTGAAAGACCTACATTGGCTCCCAGTACGTTTCCGAGCACAATTCAAAGTGCTGGTGTTGACCTCTAAAGCCCTAAACGGCCTCAGCCCAGTATACCTGAAGGAGCGTCTCCACCCCCATCGTTCTGCCCGGATGCTGAGGTCCAGCGCCGAGGGCCTTCTAGCGGTTCCCTCATTGTGAGAAGCAAAGCTACAGGGAACCAGGCAGAGGGCCTTCTCGGTAGTGGCACCCGCCCTGTGGAACGCCCTCCCATCAGATGTCAAAGCGATAAACAACTACCTGACATTCAGAAGACATCTTAAGGCAGCCCTGTTCAGGGAAGTTTTTAATGTGTGATATTTTAGTGTATTTTTGGTTTCTATGGAAGCTGCCCAGAGCAGCTGGGGAAACCCAGCCAGATGGGCGGGGTACAAATAATAAATTATTATTATTATTATTATTATTATTATTATTTATTTCTCTCTCTCTCTCTCTCTCTCTCTCTCTCTCTCTCCAGGTTAAAGTAGAACAGCCTGACGTTCTTCTCGAGGGCTTGTCCCCCAACACTGAATACTCGCTGGCCGTTTACGCAATGTACGGAGAAGATGCTAGCGATCCGGCGAGTGTACAGGAAACCACTTGTAAGTCCCAGCTGTATGATTTAACGTTGGCATGGCTTGGATAGGGTTCTCTGGAGCCTGGGGAGAAGTTCTGACTAAGACTCCATTTGCACAATAAGTTTAAAGCACTGTGATGCCACTTCAAACAGCTGTGGTTCCCCCCAAATAATTCTGGGAAGTGACTTCACAATAAATCCTTATTCGCAAGGGGAAATTGCAGCACTGTGAGGGAAATAGGGTGTCTTCTGACCACAGCTCCCAGAATTTTCTGGGTGAAGCCATAACTGTTCAAAGTGGCATAATAAACTAAATCTAGCAGTTCAACAGAGTAGCCACTGACCATCGTTTGGTAGTCCATATCTGGATCTGTAGGGAGAAGGAGCAAACTTTGTGGCACTTTAAGGAAAACACCCTTAGGGAAAAGAGGAAAACTGTTAATATTGAAAGTGGATTAACAGACATGGAGGGGTTATGGGAAATGGGAATATTTTCCCCCAGGATTCTGAGAATGTCTAAGTCCTAGGAGATGTCCCTAGCCTCTCTAAAGGTAAAGGGACCCCTGACCATTAGGTCCAGTCATGGCCGACTCTGGGGTTGTGGCACTCCTCTCGCTTTATTGGCCGAGGGAGCCAGTGTACAGCTTCCGGGTCATGTGGCCAGCATGACTAAGCCGCTTCTGGCAAACCAGAGCAGCGCATGGAAACGCCGTTTACCTTCCTGCCGGAGTGGTACCTATTTATCTACTTGCACTTTGACGTGCTTTCAAACTGCTAGGTTGGCAGGAACAGGGACCGATCAACGGGAGCTCACCCCGTCGCGGGGATTCGAACCGCCGACCTTCTGATCGGCAAGTCCTAGGCTCAGTGGTTTAACTCACAGCGCCACCCGCGTCCCTCTAGCCTCTCTAGTGAACAGGGATTTCCTGGTCTTTTGGGGAGAGATGCCATGAAATTAAACTGGGCTTCGGTCTCTAGTGTGGACATCCTATCAGTCCCCATGGTTATGTCTTGCAGTGGCCCTGAGCCCTCCACAGTTCTTGCATTTCTCCAACATCAGCCATGCCTCGGTCAGGGTCAACTGGGAGGCGGCTTCACATGCCGTGAAAAAGCACCGCGTAACGTACATCTCCAGCAGGGGGAGCAACACTGGAGAGGTGAGTAAGATTATAAGAGCCACTATGCAGTATCCGAACAAGTTCTGTTGTTTTGCACCAACAACAGCTAGGTAGACATATTGAAGGAGACAAAGAGACAATCATTCAGCGGTGCAGGCAGTGCCTAAGACTTTCCTTACAGAGCAGAAGTTATTATATCATCTTCCAGACAGCAAGGGCAATTAATGGTCTCTGCTGCTGGCGTCAAACAGCGAAACCCTACTAGAAGACACTCTGCGACCCTAACACTTTCTACATTTCAGGTGGACGTTCCTGGCAACTCAACCTTTGCTGTGCTGAAGCCTCTCTCATCGCTGACGCAGTATTTTGTCAGCGTGATTTCCGTTTATGACGAAGGGGACTCCTTCCCTGTAACGGCCAACGTCACCACATGTAAGCAAGGGTTGGTCAGCTTGGGGAAATGCAGCCGTTGGAAGTCTAGGTGGTCCTCAAAGCTGCAGTTGGATACTGAAGTTCTATATAATGTTGAACCACATATTATGTTTCCAAGCACAATTCAAAGTGTTGGTGCTGACCTTGAAAGCTCTAAACGACCTCAATCCCATGTACCTGAAGGAGCATCTCCACCCCCATTGTTCTGCTCGGACACTGAGGTCCAGCACCAAGGGCCTTCTGGCAGTTCCCTCGTTGTGAGAAGCCAAGTTACAGGGAACCAGGCAGAGGGCCTTTTCGGTAGTGGCACCTGCCCTGTGGAACGCCCTCCCACCAGATATCAAAGAGAAAAACAACTATCAGACATTTAGAAGACATCATCAGGCAGCCCTGTTTAGGGAAGCTTTTAATGTTGGATGTTTTATCGTGTTTTTAATATTCTGCCGGGAGCCGCCCTGAGTGGCTGGGGAAACCCAGCCAGATGGGCATGGTATAAATATATTATTATTATTATTATTATTATTATTATTATTATTATTATTGGAAATTGGGTAGCTTGAACACCATCAGAGGTGTTGCGTTCTTTGAGCTTGCTGGTAGGATGAAAATTGGCCATATTAACCACAGTCGATACCCCAGTGTTAACCACGGCCTTAAACCAAAGTGACCCAAAGATTCTCCAGCTGAAAATGTCTACCTTGCCACAGACTTTTCTAAGCCTTTAAGGCAGGGATGTGAAACCTCTTGGTTCTTCAGGTGTTGCTAGATGACATCTCCCATCAGCTTCACCCTCAAGCTCTGGGGAAGCAGTGCAGGCAGCGAGAGAGGCAGAGTCTCCAAGCCCTGGGAGGAAATATTTCCAGCGTGTGGAGCAAGGCTTTTGTTTACGTATTCGCTGAAGTACTAAGGATGCTGAGCGTCTTGCGAGAGGAAGGGCTGTAGCTCAGTGGCAGAATGCATACTTTGCAGGTTCCAGGTTCAATCCCCAGGGATTGATGGGAGAGATCCCCACCTGACACACTGCCAGCCAGTGTTGACAACACTGAGCTGGTTAGCCAAATGGTAGATTTGATTTCATACATTCCTAATTGGAAGCTGAGGTCAAACCATCTTGGAAGACAATTAGAAGGTGAGGCTGGAAGCCCATTGCAGCAGAGGCTCTGGCACAGAAGAAAATCAAGAATAACAATTAGGTTGCCAGCAGACCCTGCTGATAAGTTTTAACTTGTACAACCAGAGACAAAAGCAGTAGTTTATATAGATATATGCACTTCATTAGCATAATGTCATTTTGTACAAAAATTACTTATCAAATACAAAGGTTTTTTTAAAAAACACAACCTATTTCAAAGTAGGGTTATACAATTCCATATAAACACCACTAAACTAAATGCTGACATTCACATGTTATATTAGTACATGCATACTAAGCCTAATAGAGAGATGTAAATATTTTCATTTAAATATTAACTTCAGAGCAAGAGCGAGTACATCTTCTGCTTCCCTTTCTTTCTATTTTAATGATGCAGATAATCTATTCCTTGTCCTGATTTTCTAAATTAAAAAAACCTCTGTGATTCCATTTGGAAATCGGGAACAAGGCTTCTCTGGAACTTTGAGCACAGTTCAGCTTGTCAAATTCCTGAGTCTCCAGCACATCCATGAGAAACAATCTCTCTCTCCCCCCCCCAACTTTCCTTTTTAATAATATATAATTATTTTCTCCTTGAATGCCCTTCCTGACTGAGTTCCTTTGCAGTTGCAAATGCCGAATGGAACCCCTCTTCTCGCTCAAATGAAATAACAAGGCTTTAATTAATGGTTGCAGAAATGTGACTTACCAGCCCTTCAGGATGGGCCTTTGTCGTTTGGGGTCTGGAGAAGCGAAAGATGTGATGCTTCAAGGCAGCTGCCCGGTTGCCGCTCGACTCCCTTACCATCTGCTCTGCTAGCTTGGTGGCAAGATGGCTTGGGCTCCTTGTGGCTGGGACAGAACGGACAGAAGCTGAACTTCAGTTAGAATATAGACAATTTATTACGGCCGGAGACCAGCTTATAAAACATACTTGGGGGTACAATCCCAGAAGGAAAACAAACATTTAAAACAATGTACAACAATAAATTTTAAATTTATAAATGTGATAAGCGTATAGACACTTAAAACTTTAAGATAAGCTACCGCAGAGAGATGACCCAGAGTCACCCATGGAACCGAGTTTGGGGATTCTCTTAACGAATTACAGTGGATGCTCGGGTTGTGAACGTGATCCGTGTGGGATGCACATTTGCAACCCGCAGCGTTCGCAACCCGCAGCGTTCGCAACCCGCAGCGGCGCATCTGCGCGGGTTGCGATTCGGCGCTTCTGAATATGCGCAAAGTGCGATTTAGTGCTTCTGCGCATGCACGACCTCCAAAACCCAGAAGTAACCTGTTCCGATACTTCCGGGTTTCGGAGTACCCATAACCTGAAAAAACGCAACCTGAAGCATCTGTAACACGAGGTATGACTGTAGTTTGGGTCGGGGGATGGTCTGCGCCTACAGAGCTGTACACAGAATCTGGTGACCATCTGGGTTGTCTTATGATCTTTGCCGAAAAGGAAAAGGTCAAATTTTTGCTTTTCCGGGAGGTCAGCAAGCCTCACCAGTAGGGGATCAATGGTCTCACTACGTGCCTCTTCATAAAAGGGACATCTAAAGAACAAGTGCTCTGGGCTTCCTATCTCCCCCAATGAACAGGCGCAAAGTCTCTGAGCATATGGGACTTTTTAAAAGGATCCTTCCAGGACCGGCGAGGGCAGAGCCGAGCTTCTGAATTTCAGTTTGTTCCTTCCCTCAGTAAAGGTGCCCCCACCCAGCCACCTGAAGGTCACCGAGCTCTCGCAAGGGGAGGTCCAGCTCGAATGGGAAGCATCTGCAGCGTCCGACGTGGTTGTCTACCAGATCAAATGGAACGTGATTGGGGAAAAGAGGGCACAGGAGGTATGTCGCCACTCTGGAGAAGGCGAAGTAAGTTGAATTGGGCGAAGTCAGTCGGTAGAACGTGAGACTCTTAATCTCAGGGTTGTGGGTTTGAGCCTCACGTTGGGCAAATGATTCCACCTGGTTGGAATAGATGACCTGACTAAACATCAGGAAGAACTTTCTGACAGTAAGAGCTGTTAGACGGTGGGTGGAATGGTCTTCCTCAGGAGGTGGTAGACTCCCCTTCCTTGGAGGTTTTTAAGCAGAGCTTGGATGGCAAATTCTCATGGATGCTTTAGCTGAGATTCCTGCATTGCAGGGGGTTGGACTCTTCAGGGGGTTCCAACTCTTCAATTCTATGATTCTAAGTATCTTTGCATGCTACCATTTGGTAACAATATGGTGGCCTTTGCCAGTGCGTTGAATATATGTATATGTCACACAGGGAGGCTCTGATTTTGATTGGCAAAGTAGCCCTGTGAGAATAGGTGTATAGATCTCCCCTTTCTAAATTGAACCACCCGGATGCTATTAGGAAAAGGAAACGCCGCCTAGGACTTGCCGATCAGAAGATCGGTGGTTTGAATCCCTGTGACAGGGTGAGCTCCCATTGCTCGGTCCTTGCTCCTGCCAACCTAGCAGTTCAAAAGCACGTCAAAGTGCAAGTAGATAAATAGGTACTGCTCTGGCAGGAAGGTAAACGGCGTTTCCGTGCACTGCTCTGGTTCGCCAGAAGCGGCTTAATCATGCTGGCTACATGACCTGGAAGCTGTATGCCGGCTCCCTCAGCCAATAAAGCGAGATGAGCGCCGCAACCCCAGAGTCAGCCACAACTGGACCTAATGGTCAGGGGTCCCTTTACCTTTACCTTTACAGGTATTATATTCTACCCCTCCCACTGCGGGGCCAACAGCATTGCCAAGGGGACAATAGAGATCTGGATGATGCCATAGGGGACAGGGTTAAGAACCCCCTGACTCAGCACTAGCAGTCTCACCCAACTTTGAAGCTTCTTGTGAAAGATTTTTAAGTGGCCACAAGATCCCATCAGGAAAGGGCTCTTTTGCACCACCTTTGATGGTTCAACTCCCAGAAGGCATTATACACCCACAGCCTCCTCTTCATAAAAACATCGGCCAACTATGCAGATGCCTAGAATTCAGGTTGCCTTTGTTCTTCTCTCCCATAGCTGTCTGTTGCTGGAAATTTGGCGTCTTCTATTCTTCCTGGCCTGAAAAAGAACACCGAGTACCAGATCTCAATATGGGCGTATTACAGAGATGGGGCTCGGAGCGATACCATCTCTGTCCGGCACAAGATCAGTAAGTGAGCAGGAACAAGCAGTCTCTGTAATCTCGGGAGCTGGGACCTGATGGTGCTGGATAGCATATAACTAAGCCATGAATGTGCCATTGAAGTGGAAAACCATGATAATCAGGAGTCTGGTGCTGCAGCAGAAAGCCTGGGGGCTGAGGGAGACTGGCTCTCTTGCAGCCTGTGTCTATGGCAATTTGAAGCAGTGGCTGGAAAACTGTCTCTGAGTTGCCGTGACTGTAACCATGGAGGGAAGTGCTGACATGCTGGGCATGGAAACAGAACTATCAGCCGCTAACTCACATGCGCACACATTTTGAGGGCGCTTCCAGGCAACCTGTTTCTTGAGGGTTCATCCCGATTGGTCTGCAGGCAGTGTTGTTGGCAATTTAACCGGCATTCATTATGATCTGTTTTGTGGGGAAGTGTTGCATCAAAACAAGGGTTATCTCACACTTCCCAGTGCATCTCCCCCTCCTCTCTTTCCTTATTGCATAAAGTTCTTTTGGGAGAAGTTGGTTTGTCTCACGAGAGCTGCCAAGCAACTGTGATTGTGCAACCCTAATTTGCTAGCTGGGATGTGGGTGGCGTTGTGGTCTAAACCACAGAGCCTAGGGTATGCCGATCAGAAGGTTGGCGGTTCGAATCCCTGTGACGGGGTGAGCTCCCATTGCTTGGTCTCTGCTCCTGCCAACCTAGCAGCTCGAAAGCACGTCAAAGTGCAAGTAGATAAATAGGTACCGCTCCGGCGGGAAGGTAAACGGCGTTTCCGTGCCCTGCTCTGGTTCGCCAGAAGCGGCTTAGTCATGCTGGCCACATGACCTGGAAGCTGTCTGCGGACAAACGCCAGCTCCCTCAGCCTATAGAGCAAGATGAGCGCTGCAACCCCAGAGTCGTCCGTGACTGGACCTAATGGTCAGGGGTACCTTTGCCTTTAATTTGCTAGTTGACAATTGAATCGCATCTGAAATGGCATCACAATCTACAGCTGCTTCTCTGAAGCTGCACCAAGTCTGGAGTAACTATTTCTCTGGGAAACGGTTGCCCCAGATCTTACTTATGCTGTTGGAACAGCCAGGGTTGATTACTGCAAAATGTTGATATGTGGGGCTACCCTTGAAGACTGTGTGCAAATTGCAGTTAGTTCAAAATGCAGCTGTACTCAGTGGGAGCAGCTGTTGGGATTTTGCTATACCAGGGCTTATAGAGCATTGCTGTTTGCTTGTCCATTTCTGATCATAATGAAAGGTTTCAGTGGAGATTTCTTTTTCTTAAACCCCTACACTAGCTTTCCCCAACCTAGATCACAACCTGGAGTATATGAGGCTTCCAGTATGTTTTCCCCTGATGACCTAAGTGGTCAGGCATGTCTGAGCAAGGGAACTTGGTCTTTCAGATAATCTGTTCCTGAGTCATTCAAGACTTCATTTTCCAGGAACAAGACCTTGAACATGGCCTGGTAGCTATTTGGCAGCTGGTGAGCAACTGGCAGAATTAGTAAATATGAGAATGGAATAGGAGAAGGGGCTGGGGTGAGGGCTTGTGCCACTTATTTCAGATTAATGAAATGATAGTACAAGTGTAGAATCATTTGCTGGCAGTTCAAGGGCAAAAAAAAAAAAAAAGAGGGATACCATTTAATACATTTTCTTTGAGCTGCTGAAGTCAAACAGTACAGAGGGGTAATCGTGTTAGAGCAGCCCCCAAATGGAGTCTTTTAAAAATAAAATATTTTATTATCGTTATGCAAAATATACAAAACATACAAAATGCATTGTATATAGTTTGTGCACATTTCTTGATCCAGTGAAAGCACGATAACAGAGAAAAATTGCAGATGGTTGTACATTTGTTGTTCCAAAATTCCGCAGGACAAAATCCACTTTCTCCTGAAACCATCAGCATTTGTCTCCCCTTGATTTCTCAGACGTGGCAGCAATGTGCCAAATCTTCAGATACCAATTTTTGGGCAAGGGCTGTAGCTCAATGGCAGAGCATCTGCTCTGCATGCAGAAAATCACGTGTTCAGTCCTAGCACCTCAGAGTTGGACTAGAAATGTACTGAGTGTACTGAGCTAGGTGGACCAATGGCCCGACTTGGCATCAGGTAGCTGCCTATTCATACTTGTAAACCATTTAACAGCCATTCTGGCATCTAACGTGGTGCCTTCCAGAGTTGGGCTCCAGCTCCCATCATCACTGACCACTGACCATGCTGACTTGGGGCTGATGGGAGTTGGAGTCCCACATTTGCAACTAGGGTTGCCAGATCTCCAGGTCTGACCTGAAGTCCAGGTTTGCCTGGCCAGGTGGCAGGTGAGGGGATCAGTGGCGTAGCGTGGGGGTGCAAGGGGGGCCGGCCGCACCAGGCGCAACATCTGGGGGGGGCGCGCTTGCCGCCTCCGGAGTCACCGAACAGCCTCGGGCGCAGGCTGTAGCAGAGCCCCATGTCTCGCGGAACTGACCAGCTGACAGCGGCTCTCAGCGCTCGCCGCGGTCCCCGCGCGCCAGGGCCGCGGAGGGCGCGCCAGGCAGCCCCTCCTCACAGCCCCGCCGCCGCTGCTGCTGCAGCTGCTGGGCCATGTTGCATTTTCCTCGCCTCTCTGCCCTCCTCCTCCTCCGGGCAAGCGGCGTCGTTTGGGCAGCAGCGCCAGTGGCAACTCGCCTCAGATCACCTGACGCAGCAGGTTAGGGGGCGCAAATTACTTGCCTTGCCCCAGGTTCTGACAACCCACGCTACGCCGCTGGAGGGGATTGAAGCTCCAAGTGGGCGAGAGTGCCTTTAATTTAAAATAAATAAATAAAAGAAGACATGTAGCTTGCAAGCTTCAGCCTGGCAGGCGCTAGCTGCAAAATATACCCTGGCTGTCAGGAGTTCAGCCTACACTTGAGTAGGACTCTGGCAGAGACACATGCTCTACTGGCATGTTCCCTCCCTCCTGGTTGATCGTTTGGGAGCTTCATAAGCTTTCTTCAGCCCAAACTTCACAGCGACTGATGCCAACCAACACCGGCACACTTAGGGATCCGCAGAGTTTGCGCACCTTGCGTGACAGACCTCAGCAGCTCAGCATTTTGGCTAATCTACTTTATTTACATATAAACACACACGGAGCACTGCAACATGGCTCCCCCTCTCTCTAGCATCAGACAGCAAAGAGAGAAAAAGAACAAAGGACAATAGTCCCACTTCACAGAACACAGTAACACAAACATCCTGTCTCCGTCACTTCCCACTCTGTGGAGTCAAAACATACACCATCATGTGAAAGACAAAAATCCCATGACTGCAATCATGGAGCAGGAATTCTGCACTCCTCTGTTCCCCTCTCCCAATTAACCTCCATCACCAGGAACCTCCTCTGATGAAATCACCAGCTGACCTCCCTAACTCTCAGGTTTGGGCCCTGAAATCTCAGGCTCTGGGATACTCCTGAACCTAGCAACCTATTCATTATCCCTACCTTAGATCATGCAGCTGTTAAATCTGCTTGCTTGCCACTTGCTGCAAGGCTCAGTGTTGCATTTGCAGTGACAGATTAGTCTTTGGACAGAGGCGACTTCTTGTTTACAATGATGCAGCAGTCTTTCAAGGCAGGGGAGCACACACACACACACACACACACACACACGCCTATCCGGAGTGCTGAATCACCCTTCACAAGCAGCACTCTCAGAAATGAAAGAGAAGTTGCCAGCCAGACCATGTGTCAAGGTAGAGACTGCTCCTTGCTTGGTACAAAAGGATGAGAGGTTATAAAGGGTCGTCCCTGAAAGTCCCCCCTTAATTAATACTTCCTGACTAATGGCTTT